ACAGAGATATTTTCCCAAACGTTCTTCAAAACTAATTTGCCTTATATTCAGATTTAAGAACAGTCAATATGTTCATAATTTTATTGTAATGCCAGCCTCCCTATTAAGAAGAGCTCTGTGTTACATGGAAGATTTTCATGGAAGAACTGTGAACATTCAGATAATCTTCTACTGTTCAAGGATATTTCCATCTGCTTATCCACTCCACTCAGGAAAGTCCCCACAAACAGAATTACCCATGGTATGACTCTCAGGAGAAAGTCAACATGCTTAGTGCGACATCCACTCATTTCCTCGTGCACACATTTAATACCTGAGACTCAACAGGGAGCAGGACATCCACTAAAATTGGGGAGCACTGAATAGTTACATTATGCAAAATGCTGGGCTGGATGAAGCTCAAGCTGGAATCAAGATTGCAGGGAGAAATATCAATAACCTCAGATATACAGATGACACCACCCTAGTGGCAGAAAGTGAAGAGGAACTAAAGAGTCTCTTGATGAAGGTGAAGGAGGAGAGTGAAAAAGCTGGTTTAAAACTCAGCATTCAAAAACTAAGATCATGGCATCTGGTCCTATCACTTCATAGCAAACAGATGGGGAAACAATGGAAAACAGTGACAGACTTTATTTTCTTGGGCTTCAGAATCACTGTGGACAGTGACTGCAGCCATGAAATTCCTTAAAAGAAAAGCTACGACAAACCTAGACAGCATATTAAAAACCAGAGACATCATTTTCCCGACAAAGGTCCATATAGTCAAAGCTATGGTTTTTCCAGTACAGATGTGAGAACTGAACCATAAAGAAGATTGAGCATTGAAGAATTGATGCTTTTGAACTGTAGTGCTGGAGAAGACTCTTTAGAGTCCCTTGGACTGCAAGGAGATCAAACCAGTCAATTCTAAAGGAAATCAATCCTGAATATTCATTGGAAGGACTGATGCTAAAGATGAAGCTCTAATACTTTGGCCACCTGATACAAAGAGCTAACTCATTGTTAAAGACCCTGATGCTGGGAAAGACTGAGGGCAGGAGGAGAAAGGGGTGACAGAGGATGAGATGGCTGGATGGCATCACTGACTCAATGGATGTGGGTTTAAGCAAACTTCAGGAGATAGTGAAGAACAGGGAAGCCTGGTGTGCTGCAGTCTATGCGGTAGCAAAGAGTTGGACATGACTGAGTAAACAACAAGAAAAAGTACAAACAAAAAAGATACAAATTCTAGCCTTCTTGAACAAGTTAAGATGGGAAAGTGAGATCCCAGAAGAAGATTATAAAATATGAAATTAAAACTCAGGCTTCCTTTATAGTCTATAGCTGGTCATCACTTTCTAATTATGCTCTCTCCTGGTACAATTAAAAATATGATACAAAATAAGGGGTGAAATGTATTCTGATATTTATAGGATCAGTTCAAAATAAAAGGGCTTTCACTTTTAAGAAAAAACAGCCCCAAAGGTAGTCTACCTGCTACTTATCATTAATTAAAATGCTGTTGGTAATATACGGTGCTAGGAAGAAAATCTGCTGAATAGGGTAGGGTTTAATCACTTGAAATGATGGCACGAGATGTAAAGAGAGCTTCATCTCCTACTTTTGCTCAGGTCTGTGCTGTGACAGGAAAACCTGAGACTCTATTCTGACAGCATTTCCTCCACAATTAATTCTAACTGCTACTTCATTCACTGTAACACAGTAAAAAGAGCTGTTGGTTAGGAGCAAGAAGTCTTGTATGGGGCACCAGCGCCATCATAGACTGCCATGCCCTTCACTGCCTATTCTGTTTAGAAATGCTGGACAGCCTCAGTTTCCTCACCCATAAATTGGCCTCCTTTGCCTCACCTGGGCTATTTGGAGGCCACAGAAAACCACAGAAATGCTTACTGCTGTTCACCCTCAGAACAACACAACTTTAGAGTCCATTAGGATTTCAGGAGGAAAAGAAATGGCACAATGTGAGTAAATTTCCCTAAACTAAGTTGGAAGGAAGAAAAATGACTCAATTCAATATTATTGAACAACATGACTTTGGAATCTGAGCTCAAGTATCAGCTTTACGAAATAATAACCATAGGACCATGGCCAAGTCACATACCCTTTCTGCAATTCAGAGTTCATAATACCTAGCCTATCAGTATGTGAGATTTTGTTGGGAGGGTAAGTAACAGTACAACATCAAAGTATCCTAAAGCATTTTAAACACAGGACTTAACCAGGGGCAATGGCAAAATCAGTACAACAAAACTGCTTGTTATCAAAGTGCCATTCAGGTCTCTTGTTAACTACTGAGCTGCTGAGTAGAATATACATATCATACTCTAAAAATGAGCCCACAAAAAATCCATCAGTACTCCTTAAGAGTGGATATTTTTAACATATGTTACTGAAATCACATGACTTACATGTCACATACTATTAATGCTGCATTTTTATAAAGGGAAAAAAAAACAACAATTTAAAACTGAGCATTGATCTAGTGGAAGTAATAGTATAT